AGCGTTCATGTAGTGTACAGTTACTACTCCTGCTTCTGTGTCCTAGATGACTGGATGTTTCACCTGTTAACAACAGGTCACCTTTAGACCACTCCTGCATGTGTATTTTTTTTTTTTTTGCACGAAATACAAACTTTATTTTTAACAAATTTGGAGACATGTGCAGTGTACTACTACCCTGTCATGAAATATGATAGTTGTGTAGTGGGAACACCTGTTAGTTATGTTTCCATGTCATATTCCAGGACGAGTTGCATGTATAGTTTTGCAATCTGTCAGTTTGAGCTGGGAGATAATAGCAGGGCGTTCAGGATACATTCACATATTCCACTCTACTGCTCCTGCCTACTTTCTGTACTCGACTGAAGAAGCCTACTGTGTGGGCGAAACGTTTCGGAATAAAATTGCCTAACTGTTGCCCATGTGTCTTACCTACCATTCCACTGAAGGTTCGGTAGCTTCAGAGGTTTTGTTAAGGGCAAGAGTTGAAGGTGGTACCTTCACCTGGTGGGCAAGAGTTGAAAGTGGTACCTTCACCTGGTGGGCAAGAGTTGAAAGTGGTACCTTCACCTGGTGGGCAAGAGTTGAAGGTGGTACCTTCACCTGGTGGGCAAGAGTTGAAGGTGGTACCTTCACCTGGTGGGCAAGAGTTGAAGGTGGTACCTTGGTACCTTCACCTGGTGGGCAAGAGTTGAAGGTGGTACCTTCACCTGGTGGGCCCCTCAAGGAAGGTTCCTTGATGTTGGTGAGGGGCTCTTGATTTAGGGAATTGGATCCGTGCTCCAGTTCCCCAAATTAAGCCTGAATGCCTTCCACATCCCCCCCAGGCGCTGTATAATCCTCTGGGTTTAGCGCTTCCCCCTTGATTATAATAATAATAATCACCTGGTGGGCAAGAGTTGAAGGTGGTACCTTCACCTGGTGGGCAAGAGTTGAAAATGGTACCTTCACCTGGTGGGCAAGAGTTGAAGGTGGTACCTTCACCTGGTGGGCAAGAGTTGAAGGTGGTACCTTGGTACCTTCACCTGGTGGGCAAGAGTTGAAGGTTGTACCTCCACCTGGTGAGTTCTGGGTATTTAACTTGACTGTTGGTTGATAGTGATGCCAAGTAACAGTAGTTTAGAGTTGCTCACACTGTCTTAACAATACATACTTGCCCTTCCTGGGATTAAATCTGATTGAATCCTTTTCCATAGGCGCTGTACGATCCCTAAGGGTTTAGCACTTCCCCAATAATGAAATAAAAAAAGCCATCTCTCCCGGGCCAGAGGACAGAAGGGGGTGATGACCTCTGACCTCCTGATGCTGCAGCCAGAATACATTCATTCATCCTAAAATGTTATCAGTGCTCTTAGTACGATTAGGTAGTCCCGTGTGTGTGTGTGTGTGTGTGTGTGTGTGTGTGTGTGTGTGTGTGTGTGTGTGTGTGTGCGTGCGTGTGTGTGTGCGTGTGAGGGTGCGTGTGAGGGTGCGTGTGTGTACTCGCCTATTTATGGTTGCAGGGGTCGATTCACAGCTCCTGGCCCCCGCCTCTTCGCTGGTCGCTGTTAGGTCCACACACACCCTGCTCCAAAGAGCCTTATCGTACCTCTTCCTAATGCTATGTATGGATCCTGCCTCTACTACATCACTCCAGATTGTTCTACTTCCTGACAACTCTCTGACTGTGTGTACTCGCCTGTTTGTGGTTGAAGGGGTCGATTCACAGCTCCTGGCTCCGCCTCTTCACTGATTGCTATTAGGTCCTCTCTCTCCCTGCTTCATGAGCTTTATCAAACCTCGTCTTAAAACTACGTCACTTTCTAGATTATTCCATTCCCTGACAACTCTGTGACTGAAGAAATACTTCCTAACATACCTTTAACTCATGGAGTCTTCAACTTCCATTTGTGACCCCTTGTTTTTATGTCCCATCTCAGGAACATCCTGTCTTTGTCCACCTTGTCAATTCCTCGCAGTATTTTATATGTTCTTATCATGTCTTCCCTGACCTTCCTTTCCTCCAGTGTCGTCAGGCCGATTTCCCTTAACCTTTCTTTGTAGGACATATCCCCTTAGCTCTGGGACTAGTCTTCTTGCAAACCTTTGCACTTTCTCTAATTTCTTGACGTGCTTGACCAGGTGTGGGTTCCAATCTGGTGCTGCATGCTCTAATATGATCCCGACGTATATGGTGTACAGAGTCTTGAACGATTCCTTTCTAAGGTATCGGAACGCTATTCTTAGGTTTGCCAGATGCCCGTATGCTGCAGCAGTTATCTGATTGTTGTGCGCCTCAGGAGATGTGCTTGGTATTATACTCACCCCCAGATCTTTTTCCTTGAGCGAGGTTTGCAGTCTTTGGCCACCTAGCTTATACTCTGTCTGCGGTCTTCTTTGCCCTTCCCCGATTTTCATGACTTTGCATTTAGCGGGGTTAAATTCAAGGAGCCAGTTGCTGAACCACGCGTCCAGCCTGTCCAGGTATCTTCGTAGACCTACCTGATCCTCGACCGATTTAATTCTCCTCATTAACTTCACATCTGCGAGCAGGAACACTTCTGAGTCTATCCGTTATGTCATCCACATATACAAAAAACAGCACATGTCCTAGTACTGACCCCTGTGGAACCCTGCTCATCACAGGCGCCCACTCAGATATTCTCTGATCCATTGCAGTGTGTGTACGCGTGTGCGCGTTGTTTGCGTGCGCGGATTTAGTTTCTGCTGACTATTTCCTTGGTAAACTTATCTTTATATAGTGTCAGGTGGAGAAACTTTCTGACATATTACTGTCTTATTAACAAGGAATTATAGAACTTTGACTCCACGACTTATTCCTCCCCATCCTTCTGGAATGTGAGTAAACGTGTTTTGAAATGTAAACAATGAATGTGGAAGAGCGTAAAGGAAGGCAGGATGTTTGTGATGTTTGAGAAGGAATGAGAGGCATGAGCAGTGAAAGTGAAAAATGGAGGGAGAGAGGGAAAGAAGCAAGCTGAGAGAAGCAGTGAGTGGGATGAAGAGAGTGGAATGAGTGAGCAGGAGAGAGAGAGAGAGAGAGAGAGAGAGAGAGAGAGAGAGAGAGAGATAGAGAGAGAGAGAACAGGAGGGAGTTCCTGTTAACATTCCCCTCAAGGGAGGTTCCTTGACGCTGGTGAGGGGCTCTTGATCTAGGGAATTGGATCTGTGCTCCAGTTCCTTGAATTGAGCCTGAATGCCTCCCATCCCTACCCCCACTTGCGCTGTATAATCCCAGGAGTTTAGCGCTCCCCCATGATTATAATAATAATCCTGTTAACATTCAGGATACACCAGCAGTGTGCTGCCTGCTGCGCGTGATATGTTTTCCTTGTCATATTCCATCATGCAGGATGGTGCTCATACAAGGTGCTGAAATAGCTTAGGCTGGAACACTTCAGTCGAGCAATGAGAATAACCTCAAGTGTTCCAGTAAGAGATCATCAGCTCAAAGGTTACCTTCCGCTAGAGCTGGAGTTACTATCACTTGGGAACTGTCATCTCTCAGGATAGCCTATCACATACACAGGAGAAAAGGAATTTTTATGAAGATATCTCCTTGATCCCAGAGCGGTGGCAAGAGGGAGAGAGCGGGAGACGGAGTGGGAGGAAATGAGAGAGCGGCAGGAAGGAAGGGAGGGAGGGAGCAAGCGAGCGAGCGAGCGAGCGAGCGGATGTGAGGGAGAGGGAGGGAGAGAGAGAACGAACGAGCGTATGTGTGTGTGTATGCACTCACCTATTTGTACTCGCTTATTTGTTGATGCAGGGGTCGATTCAAAACTCCTGGCTCCGCCTCTTCACTGGTCGCTACTAGGTCCACTCTCTCCCTGCTCCATGAGCTTTATCTCCTCTTAAAGCTATATATAGATCCTGCATCCTGTACATCACTTTCCAGATTGTTCCACATCCTGACAACTCAGTGACTGAAGAAATACTTCCTAACATCCCTGTGACTCATCTGAGTTTTCAACTTCTAGTTGTGACCCCTTGATGCTGCGTCCCATCTCTGAAACATCATGTCCCTATCCACCTTATCAATTCTTCTCAGTATTTTATCTGCCGTTATCATGTCCCTCCTGTCCTCCAGGGTCATCAGGTTGATTTTCCTTAATCCTCTCCCCTTAACTTCGGGACTGTTCTTGTTGCAACTCTTTTCACTTTCTCTAATTTCTTGAAGTGCTTAACCAGATGTGGGTTCTATACTGGTGCTGCATACTCCAATATGCGCCTGACGTACAGAGTGTACAGAATGGTGGATCGAGGCTCCACCATTCGCTGCACAGAATGACCCACTTCACGAAATACAATAGCATCTTTTAAGAGAGTTGGCGGTGATTACTGTTATATCTGAACCGTGTTATAGCGGACACTTGGATCTCTTCACACGTCGTTTAAGTGAAGAACACTTAAGTTGGGTTCGGTTTATTGGGTTTTTAAGATTATCGACTAAGCGAGAGCTGAATTTGAGACGTCCCGCTCGGAGATAAAAATTTTGTATGATGTAATAATTGTGAACGTTGCAAAATAACCATAAGGGTAGTTGAATGATAGCTCTAGGCCTTTCATGTTGCAACCATCACATCAGGGGCTTGCAATGAGGCAGATTCGGTGAGTATGTAGTAAAATGATTAGGTTAGGTAAGGCCTGTCAGGAAACAGGACAAGTTTGCTAACCCGCCATTGGGGCTTTTGGTCATCTGACCGAGGCCTTCCGCTGGCTTACCGTTGGTTATAATTATAACCATTTAGTTCTACAAATGATTAGGATGATCTTTAAAAATCATGACATTTGTGAACAGTCTGATTAATGAGGCTATCAGCCAGAAAGCTTGTGGTCTTTGACCGGACCGTAAGAGCGATCATCCCTGTTACCCGGAACTAACTAGACGTTCAGTTACAGGGACGGTATATGAAACTGTGATTCACATTACATAACTTTTCAAGTTCTTTTATGTGAACAGTGTTAGCATAGTGTTACATTTGTGTTTTCTTTTCCCACAGAAACAACAGTAAGAAGATAAGCAGCAGCAACATGGGTCTGGCGGCGAGGTTGGGCATGCGCACCAGACGGGCACGTCTGAGGCCACTTCTCCTGGCCACCTTCACCTATTTGGGTCTCGTCACCTTGTTGACCCACGGCCACACCCTCCTCCGTCACCCAGGTGAGTCTGACCATGCCCTCTCACTTGGCCACATCATCCTAAATTCCCCTGCAAGGCGACTGATTCCTAGGTGAAACTGACTCACTCTTGAGAAAACTTACACTAGACCACCTTGAACTACATCATTAACACTGGCAGGTGTGCATCAGTTCAGGGCATGAAAAGTTTCCACTAGCTCCTCACAACAGCACTTCCTAGATGCCAGTCCCGCCTTGACACAGACCTACCTTACCCCTCCCCCCCGAGTCTCTCTTTTTTTTCTATCTAAAATAACCTGTTGCATTAATATTAATTTAAATTTTATTCTTTCACTCTCCCCTGCCCCTCACTCCTACCCTTCTCACATTCCCACTTTCGCACTTCCTTGCAGAGCTGTATGACCCTTTCGGATTTAGCACTTCAGTTAAGTATATTAACAACAATAGTAACAGTTTTCTAACACTGACAGGTGAGTGGCAGTGCCAAGGCGTCAAGTTTGTACTAGTTCCTAACCCATAACTCCCCAGTCTTCTGGAAGAGACTTGGTTCTTTAATAGTCTTTAAATATGGTGGAACAACCGTCGGATATAATAATAATAATAATAACAATTATCATATTTAACGCTAAACCCATGTGGGTCATTCAGCACGAGACGTAGTAGATACTTATCATAAGCCAGAACGTGGATTTAAGTGTATATTTAACTCTAGTTTTTTTCTGAGGTTCACCTCTCCTGTTAGTTTTTCTTTATAAGGAATATTTGCGTTGTTTAAATTTAATTGACAGTAAAGTAACTTGACCTAAAATATGTAAATAGAAAAAGTCTTCTTATAACCATATAATGTGTTAAAACCCCTCATCATTCTGGCTTAGAAGAGGTTGTTACACGCAATAAATTTTTTAAGGGCAGATTATGTACGAGTGTTACTCGAGGATAATTCTGAAAGTTTGATTTTTTGGAAACAAATTCGGGTAAATTACTTTTTATTAATAAATGGTTGAATTTTCATGATGGAAAAATATGGAAAAATACACACATAAGCAGTATAATGTGATTATTGACGACGTTTCGCCCACACAGTGGGTTTTATCATGTCACAAACAGATCTGTTTGTGACTTTGTGGGCGAAACGTTGTCAATAAAGGATCACATTATACTGCTTATGTGCTTATTTTTCCCATTGTGTCGGTATTTTATACCATTTATTTCCACTTTAATATTGTGAGTGACGCTTCAGCATGACCACATTAACTTTGTCACAGAGAATCTGTGTTACTGTGAGAATACACAAACAACCCGCACATAAAAGAGAGAAGCTTACGACGACGTTTCGGTCCGACTTAGACCATTGACAAAGTCACAAGTCGGACCGAAACGTCGTCGTAAGCTTCTCTCTTTTATGTGCGGGTTGTTTGTGTATCGTTCCAGTCACGGTATTGTGCCTTTTTGTTATTTATTGTGAGAATAATGATTTGACCTCATTAGCTCTGCAGCAGATAATGTTACTATGAGACTAATGATTTTAATTTCCTATTTACGCCTTTTTTTTCTGATAAAATTTCGTCTGGAGAACATTGCGAAAAGAAGAGAGGGAAAGTAATTGCAGTTCGGTGTGTTTGGTGATAATTTGATTACATTTGTTCGTGTGATTAGAATATTTTGGCTTCAATAACCTGTTTGAACATTAAAATGGTATAAAATACCGACAGATTGTTAGGTAAGACGCATATGCAACAGTTAGGTATCTTTATTTCGAAACGTTTCGCCTACACAGTAGGCTTCTTCAGTCGAGTACAGAAAAGTTGATAGAAGCAGAAGATACTTGAAGACGATGTAATCAGTCCATCACCCTTAAAGTTTTGAGGTGGTCAGTCCCTCAGTCTGGAGAAGAGCATTGTTCCATGGCATTGTTCCATGGAACAATGCTCTTCTCCAGACTGAGGGACTGACCACCTCAAAACTTTAAGGGTGATGGACTGATTACATCGTCTTCAAGTCTCTTCTGCTTCTATCAACTTTTCTGTACTCGACTGAAGAAGCCTGTGTAGGGTAGGCGAAACGTTTCGAAATAAAGATACCTAACTGTTGCATATGTGTCTTACCTAACAATAACCCGTTTGAAAATATATAACGCTCTTGTAGGGTTATTATTCTTTCTGGTCGAAAATTTCTTGCAAGAAATTAAGGATACTTGTATGTGCATATTTACGTAGGTGTTACAACCCTCGGTCTCGTCCACTCTGCAGGATTATTTGACAAAAAAAGAAAGGGCACATTACCGTGACTGGAACGATACACAGGTAACCCGCACGTAGAAGAGAGGAGCTTACGACGGCGTTTCGGTCCGACTTGGACCATTTACCAAGTCACAGTGTGACTTTGTAAATGGTCCAAGTCGGACCGAAACGTCATCGTAAGCTACACTCTTCTATGTGCGGGTTATTTGTGTACAGGATTATTTCTGTAAATACCTCAAGGCAATTGTTACATTTGCCATTAGTATATATATTGTTGGTGTTTTGTACTCCAGGAAACAGGAGTGTCTCATGATGCGAGTCATGAGACACCGGTCGCTAGATTACCGGTGTGAATATCATTAGTGATGAAACGCCTGCTGGTTAACATGTCATATATAACCGTGATTCACCATTCGTTGGCCTACTGCAGCTAATTTTTCTAAGGTTCACCGCATGATAGAATTCTAGAATTATTGTTGGTTCATTTCTTGGGAAAAATCTCTGACACGGGTCTTTGTCATAAGTGTGGTGGCCATTTAGCGATGCTGGCGCTATGGCGGGAACAATGTAAGACAGTGTTTAAGATCACGTTAAAGTTGGGTAGCCGATTTCTCTGTGGCCGCGACAATTGCGACCGCTGGCTTACTAGTGCTGGACTAGTAAGCCAGCATTAGGTATTAGGTTAGGTAAGGTTTGTCAGGAAACAAGATAAGCGTTTCCTGACGCGGTGTCTTACTCATATGATGCAGTATCGGGTTTACACGCGACTCAGATGCTTCTCTCTATCCATTGCTCTCCCTATCTTTTAGGTTCCTGAGGCAGGATTAGCTGTCTCTGAGTTCATGTTTGGGCTTCGTGAGGAAGCCCCAGCTCTGTAGGTAGGCATTATGTTATGAATACTGGTCTGTAGTTGAGGATTGCTTCACGTCTGTCTTACATTTTGAAGATTGTAACCACACTGGCCGTCTCGAGGTGTCTAGTAGCTCCTCTCAGTGAGTGGCTCAGAGGGGGATTGCGAAACTCTGATCTCTGGATATTTTCTCGTCTGATTGTAACTTTGGCAGCGTCCAGGACCTGCTTCCTTTGTCTGTGTCCCTCGCCTCTACTTGGTTAGACAATTTTCTTTTGGAATCCTTTGTTGAATACATCAGTTACCTCCTTGTCAGTAATGTTCCCATCCTTTCATAGTCGATTTCCCTGTAGAGAAATCGGCTACTGTGACGTTCTCCAGTTGTGTGTCTGCCTTCATTCATAATGGAATTTACTTGTTTCTGGCTAATGTATTTTTAATTCTCCCTTTTCAATCGTCGTATGCACCCCGTATACTATTTTATTCATTATATTACTTAATTCATCTATTAAGCATGTTGGTTGAATCAAGAGATCTCCCAGTATTCAAATTTTCAGCACTTTGTGAACGCAATAGTACATCATGGCTCGTGGAGTCAGGCTACCGAGCTGCTCTCTTGTATACCAGTTAGGAAGTTTCTTATCTCGTTGCCTTTACATCTGCGTGCTGGTCGTCTTCCTTCGCTCGTACCCACATTTCTGAGTACTGAATTAGTATACTCTTGTTGCTTCTATGAAAGAGGCAATGAGACAGGATGGAAGGGGTGACTTCTTAGCTAGTCTGTTGCATATCTGGACCAATTAAGAGAGATTGTATGGTTTAATCTGGTTGTATCATCATTCTTGTAGTCTCCTTCACATCTTCTCTCAAAGTTTACTTACAAATTTCTTCTCAGTTTCATTAGCCTCTCATAAACTAGCATTATCATCAACAGTTCCTGGGTCACCCCTACGACTCGGGTACAGTATTCGTTGGTACCAGTACCTGGTAGTTAGGTTAGCCGTGTGTGTATGTGATAATGGTGTAAAATACCGCCAAGTTGATAAGTAAGACACATGTGCAACAGTTAGGTATCTTTATTCTGAAACGTTTCGCCCACACAGTAGGCTTCTTCAGTCGAGTACAGAGGAGGTAGTAGAAGCAGTAGAGGTGGGTGATGGACTGATTACATCGTGTTTACATCTCTACTGATACTGCTGCCTCCTCTGTACTCGACTGAAGAAGCCTACTGTGTAGGCGAAACGTTTCGAAATAAAGATACCTAACCATTGCAAGTGTGTCCTATCAATTTAGTGGTGTGTGAAGTCACCAACTTGTTGCTACAACACTAAGTGTTATGCTCCTGGTGTCTCCTCTTCAGTAGTTTGCTCATCACATAATTTATTTAATTTCCAGCAGTTGTAGCGCTTACTACCTCCTCTTTTAAATAGTTGCTCTGGTCAGTCACTGCAGCAACAACTTTGTAGCTTTTACTCGGTATAAAACCGGTCTCTGTTATTCCTGTTGTGGGAATAAGACATTTTTATCTATTCTTTTATGTTCGCGTGGGCGACTGTGTGTGTGTGTGTGTGTGTGTGTGTGTGTGTGTGTGTGTATACACGTGTCTGTGTATACGTGTCTGTGTATACGTGTCTGTGTATACGTGTCTGTGTATACGTGTCTGTGTATACGTGTCTGTGTATACGTGTCTGTGTACACGTGTCTGTGTACGTGCCTGTTAGTTCCCCTGTATACTTGGTACACTTACGTCCCGGGGTTTCCCCGTGCTGCCTTTCACTTGTTTGTTCTTGTGCGGGTAGAGGCAAGGCCGTGTTGTCCTCGTGCGGGTAGAAGCAAGACCGTGTTCTGGTGCGGGTAGAGGCAAGGCCGTGTTGTTCTCGTGGGGGTAGAAACAAAGTCTTGTTGTTCTCGTGCTGGTAGAGGCAATGCCGTGTTCTCGTGCGGGTAGAAGCAAGACTGCGTCGTTCTCGTGCGGGTAGAGGCGAGACTGTGTTTGCTGATTAGACACAAAACCGACAGAGAATCAATGTAATCTTTACAAATTGGGCTCCCCAAATTTGTACCTTGTGGATGGTCGTTGTGGGGAACGTAAGAGGGTGTTTTCGGTACGAAATATTGGTGGTGGTCTGGCAGGGGACTCCATTACTCAATTTCTCTTGGGAGAGATTTTTTTTTTTTTTTTTTTTTAATTCTGATTGAGGTCTCCAGTTTTCTTGTTAAGTTTTCTGGTTTTTAGATTGTAGTTTGTAGCGTCGCATGGCGTGCTGGCGTTGATTCATTCGTTCCTGGCCCCGGTTCAGTTCTCCTGGCATTGGTTCATTTCGTCTTGATCCGATTCAGTTCCATCCTGGTTCTGGTTCGCTTCCTCTTGGCTCCGGTTCATTACATCCTGGCATCAGTCCATTTCCTTCTGGCTCCGGTTCAGTGCCATCCTGGCTCTGGTTCAATTCCATACCGGTCCGGTTCGGTTCTGTCCTTGTTCACTTCCTCTTGGCTTTGGTTCATTCCCTCCTGGCTCCTCTTCACTTCCACTTAGCGCTAGTTCAATTCCTCCTCCGGTTTCTTCTCTCCTAGCTAAGGTTGACTCAGCCCTGGTTCACTTCCAGTTAGGGATGGCGTCGAATGCCTCGTATATCACTAACGTGTTGAACAGAACACCCACCTTGTGTTCTCTCTCTCCGCCCATGTGCGCAGGAACGCTTTGAGGATTCTCTTCAGATCTGCACCATTTTTAAGCTTGTCCGCGAATTTTGGCTGTTCAGTCTCGTGGTCCATGGCTAATCTGTGGCCCTCTTTTGTACTGGATATAGTTCCCCCATTGTGTGTCCCCAAAATTACTACCTCCTGGCGTGCTTGGGTGAGTACGCGTGAGCAGGTGGGAGAGGAAAGACAGCTGTAGCTTTTTTACTGGTAAAGTACTCGAGAATACACCTGATTAGAACGGGAGTCAGGAGAATCTGTGACATCATTAGAACGAAGTTCCAGTGTGTGCTTGTAGATGAAAAAAAATCTGACTTAAAACTCCAAACAGCTAGCGAGGTTGTGGACACTACAACAATTGGTAACGCCAGATTAAATGGCAAACTGAACACTGAAGATGGGGCACCCCAAGCACTGTTCTGTATTTTTAAACTACAAATACAAAATAAAACTATCAAACTACTAAATTTAGAGCTGGTGCAATATGAATGTTGTATTTCATAAAGCTGTAAACTCGTGCGGGTTATTCAGCCAGTGAGTAGTGGAGGCTCAGTCTTCCGTCCCCTAGTAGCGATCTGTTCTCTGGAAGATTAGGTTGTTAGTGATAAAAGGGAACACCTGAGATGAGGGCTGCACCATGAAGCACCACACTAATTTAGAGACGGAAAATCCTGCCTCATGACTCTATTGAACTTCAACGGTTATCAGGGAAGATAGAGGGACGGACACACTGCATTGTTGTAGATTGTGAGAAGGCATTCGTCACTGTGCAAGACTTAAATACTAACTGGAAGTGCAAGTTGAGGTGACGGGAGATGTTTCAATTTCTCAGAGAGTGCTGTGATGGGTGAAACATCAGACTTACCAAGAGGAGTTGACCAAGGATCAGTCCTTGTACTTATGTTATTTTTATTGTATTTACGGTTATGATAATTGATATGTAATGAAACCACAGTACAGCGTTTGTTGGTATACGATTGTGTGTGTCCACTACACTTCCACCTCCCCCACACTTCCACCTCCCCCACACTTCCACCTCCCCCACACTTCCACCTCCCCCACACATCCACCTCCCCCACACTTCCACCTCCCCCACACTTCCACCTCCCCCACACTTCCACCTCCCTCATACTTCCACCTCCCTCATACTTCCACCTCCCTCATACTTCCACCTCCCTCATACTTCCACCTCCCTCATACTTCCACCTCCCTCATACTTCCACCTCCCTCATACTTCCACCTCCCTCACACTCCCACCTCCCTCACACTCGCCTTCCTCACCCCATCTCTTCCTCCCAACACTATTGCCCAACTTCCTGTTTACTCAATCTCAAGAGTAAGAAACTCAATCAAATAATTTCCTGACCTGAGGAAGTTTCCTGCTCCCCCTTCCCTTCCTTCCCTTCTGTCCATCTTCACCTTCCCTTCCGTCCATCACCTTCCCTTCAGTCTTCACCTTTCTTCATTTCTGCCCATCTTCACCTTCTTTCACTTCCTTTCTGTCCATCACCTTCACTTCCTTTTTGTCCATCTTCACCTTTCACTTCTGTCCCTTCTGTCCATCTTCACCTTTCACTTCTGTCCATCTTCACTACCCCAGCTGCTACCTCTTGACCTAGTTAGTCACTCTTATCAACGCCTACTTTTCATTACCATTAGAATAGTAATTTTGATTGGTAGCAAAATAGACCTCAGTACTGAATAGATTTTGCGTATGTATGTATGAACGAGGAAATATTCGAAATAAATTAGGACGTTCTTGTTGCTTTTCTAAATCCAGTTTCTTCTCATATTTATAGGAGAGTCGGTGGCGCCCGAGGCTGAGGCATCATCAGCGGGGTTGGTGTCCCGGCACCTCCTCCAGGATGACGAAGAAAACTACTCATCTTCGTCACCTTCGTCGCCTCCGCAGGAGAACTGCACACTGCCGGCCATCGAACAGTTTCCGCGGGGCTTCATGTCTCCCAGCGCCAGGAAGAGTGGTGGCCTCATCGTTCACATCATCATCACTATCTACATGTTCGTCGGTATCGCTATTGTGTGTGACGAGTACTTCGTCCCTTCCCTCGAGATGATCTGTGACGGTAAGTTACCACTCTTACTGTTCTCCTAGAGATGATCTGTGAAGGTAAGTTACCACTCTTACTGTTCTAGAGATGATCTATGACGGTGAGTTACCACTCTTACTGCTGTCCCCTCTGTATTGATCTGTACCGCTTGTCGGGTCGAGGTCTTGACTGGCGCTAATTAGTTCAGTTACATTCATAATGAAATGTCACCAGATTTGCCAGTAAGATGTTTTGTTGAAGTGAAGTAATATACTTTGTCAATTAGCCATCAGTTTATATCGGGACAAGTTGGAAGAGTTGGCGAAAATAGTAATAAATCAACTTTGTTTTTAAAGGTCACCATTGAGAAATATCAAGAATAGGTCTGGCTTTTACACAGTATTTTTGAGGTGTCTCGCCCGTCTCCATACACATTCCTCCTCAACGAGTCTTATTTTTTATTTTTTTTATCACACTAGCCATCTCCCACCGAGGCAAAGTGACCCGAAAAAGAATCACTTTCACCATCATTCACTCTATTACTGTCTTGCTAGAGGCGCGCAGACACGACAGTTTAGATGTCACTCAAAAATAAGTGGGTAGAACTGATAGAGTAATAACAGTGGCAAGATAGAGTAATAACAGTGGCAAGATATGTCCACATGGAACTTCTTGAACTCTAGCATCCACTTGCTGACCATTGCTGCTGTATTTGTGTCGCCTAACAATGTCGTGAATCATGGTTGAGGTGTTGACTGCTACTTTCAGTGTTCGTTCGCTTTATTAAACACTTTTGTGGCTGAAAGCATTATTATTATTATTATTATTATTATTATTATTATTATTATTATAATCAAGGGGAAGCGCTAAACCCGGAGGATTATACAGCGCCTGGGGGGGGGGAGGATGTGGAAGGCATACAGGCTTAATTCGGGGAACTGGAGCACAGATCCAATTCCCTAAATCAAGAGCCCCTCACCAACATCAGGATTCTTCTAGCTCTATCTACTATTTAGATTAAAATACGAGAGTTATTGTAGTTCCCTGAAGATATCTCTATTTTACACTACTTCGTTATTAATCGTCATATTCATTTCCATGTTCACTTGTAATTTTCTTATTTTTAATACCTCAAATTCACCTATCAACGTCAACTTCTGTTGAGAATCTCCCGAAGAAACTGAGGATTTAGCCGCGAGGAGCCTGCTGCAAATTGTATGTGCACCCCAACCAATCACGATACACCTCTCTGTTTTTGGTGTGGTGAATGAGGTCGTCCTTATAGGTAGTTTTGTGATACACCTAAAAGGAGCAGGAGTCTGTGTTTCTGTGGAAAAAGTCAGGAAAGGTTGTTTATCCCTCCTCAGTTTCTAAAGTGAATTGGATTGATGTCTCAATGTTTACGTTGTCCCGCGGCTGAAGACGGTCGACTTGTGCAGGAGTGACCATCAGGATATCCTCCAGATTTCTCATCTAAGGTATATTGTGGTACCACCGGGTGTATTGTGGTACCAACCTGTGTATTGTGGTACCACCTGTGTATTGTGGTACCAACCTGTGTATTGTGGTACCACCCGGTGTATTGTGGTACCACCCGGTGTATTGTGTCACTACCCGGTGTATAGTGGTACCACAGCAACACCTGCACCACCGCAACACCTACACCACAACACCACCACATCACTACACCTGCACCTTCACCACCTCTTCCACTTACTGTACCATCACCGTCTGCACGACCACCGATACCACCACCACCTGCATCTCCTGCACCACCACCCCACTCTGCCTGCATCACCACAACACCACTACACTACTACTACACCTACACCACCACTACACATACACCACTGTACCTGCACCACCACCACACCACCACTGCACCTACACCACCACCACTACACCTACACCACCACTACACCTACACCACTACACATACACCACTACACATACACCACCACTACACATACACCACTACACCTGCACCACCACTGCACCTGCACCACCACTGCACCTACACCACCACCACTACACCTACACCACCACCACACATACACCACCACAACACCTACACCACCACCACACATACACCACCACAACACCACCACTGCACCTACACCACCACTACACATACGCCACCACAACACCACCACTGCACCTACACCACCACCACTACACATACACCACCACAACACCCACCACTACACCTGCACCACCACAACACCACCACTACACCTGCACCACCACAACACCACCACTGCACCTACACCACCACCACTACACATTCATCACCACAACACCACCACTACACCTGCACCACCACCACACCACCACTGCACCTACACCACCACCACTACACATACACCACCAACCACTACACATACACCACCACTACACATACACCACCACCACTACACATACACCATACACAACACCACTACACCACCACCACACCACCACTGCACCTACACCACCACCACTACACATACACCACCACTACACATACACCACCACCACTACACATACACCATCACAACACCACTACACATACACCACCACAACATCACCACTACACCACCGCTACACCTGCACCACCACAACACCAGCACTACACCTGCACCACCACCACACCACTGCACCTACACCACCACCACTACACACCACCACCACTACACATGCACCACCACCACTACACAACACCATCACAACACCACTACACCTGCACCACCACCACACCACCACTGCACCTACACCACCACTACACCTGCACCACCACAACACCAGCACTACACCTGCACCACCACCACACCACCACTACACATACACCACCACCACTACACATACACCATCACAACACCACTACACCTGCACCACCACCACACCACTGCACCTACACCACCACTACACATACACCACTACATACAGTGGATGTGGCGCGCCTCTCACACCATTAAGCTTTAAAGCGGCCAGATGGAAACACTGAAAACATTGTTTCAAGAATGTTCCAGAAATTCTTGATCTTTAAATGGACTTGGTAGACTGGTCTGGGTCCTTGGTAGACTGGTCTGGGTCCTTGGTAGACTGGTCTGGGTCCTTGGTAGACTGGTCTGGGTCCTTGGTAGACTGGTCTGGGTCCTTGGTAGACTGGTCTGGGTCCTTGGTAGACTGGTCTGGGTCCTTGGTAGACTGGTCTGGGTCCTTGGTAGACTGGTCTGGGTCCCTGGTAGACTGGTCTGGGTCCTTGGTAGACTGGTCTGGGTCCCTGGTAGACTGGTCTGGGTCCCTGGTAGACTGGTCTGGGTCCCTGGTAGACTGGTCTGGGTCCTTGGTAGACTGGTCTGGGTCCCTGGAAGACTGGTCTGGGTCCCTGGTAGACTGGTCTGGGTCCCTGGTAGACTGGTCTGGGTCCCTGGCCGTCTGCCCTAGGTCCCTAGTAGACTGGCGTGGGTCCCTGGTCGTCTGCCCTGGGTCCCTGGTAGACTGGCCTGGGTCCCTGGTCGTCTGCCCTGGGTCCCTGGTAGACTGGTCTGGGTCCCTGGTAGACTGGCCCGAGTCCCTGGTAGACTGGCCTGGGTCCCTGGTAGACTGGCCTGGGTCCCTGGCCGTCTGCCCTGTTTCCCTGGTAGACTGGCCTGGGTCCCTGGCCGTCTGCCCTGGGTCCCTGGTCGTCTGCCCTGGGTCCCTGGTAGGCTGGCCTGGGTCCCTGGCCGTCTGCCCTGGGTCCCTGGTAGACTGCCCTGGGTCCCTGGCCGTCTGCCCTGGATCCCTGGTAGACTGCCCTGGGTCCCTGGCTGTCTGCCCTGGGTCCCTGGTAGGCTGGCCTGGGTCCCTGGCCGTCTGCCCTGGGTCCCTGGTAGACTGCCCTGTGTCCCTGGCCGTCTGCCCTGGGTCCCTGGTAGACTGGCCTGAGTCACTGGCCGTTTGCCCAGGGTCCCTGGCCGTCTGCCCTGGGTCCCTGGCCGTCTGCCCTGGGTCCCTGGTAGACTGGCCTGGGTCCCTGGCCGTCTGCCTTGGGTCCCTGGTAGACTGGCCTGGGTCCCTGGCCGTCTGTCCTGGGTCTCTGGCCGTCTGCCCTGGGTCCCTGGCCGTCTGCCCTGGGTCCCTGGTAGACTGCCCTGGGTCCCTGGCCGTCTGCCCTGGGTCCCTGGTAGGCTGGCCTGGGTCCCTGGCCGTCTGCCCTGGGTCCCTGGTAGACTGCCCTGGGTCCCTGGCCGTCTGCCCTGGGTCCCTGGTAGACTGGCCTGGGTCCCTGGCCGTCTCTAGTGACATAGACTGGCCTGGGTCCCTGGCCGTCTCTAGTGACATTGACTGGCCTGGGTCCCTGGCCGTCTCTAGTGACATAGACTGCCCTGGGTCCCTGGCCGTCTCTAGTGTCATAAGGGTCTCACTATGCTCGGTACGGGGCTCTCTTTATCTTCATTGTTTGATCTTTAACTCATTTTCTCTATTATACCCATCTTTATCTCCTTCCTCGTCATCGACTTCGTCCTTCGTCTTCTTCTTGGGTCAAGTTGATCTAAGTTGACTGCAGGTCAGTTTGTGATCCACTTTGGTGACCTCGTCTGTCTGGAGGTCAGATACTGGAGCCGGGGTCACCACTGGACTAGTGGGTCACATCATCCGCCAACTTAGTAAGTTAACATAAGCTTGACGCTCTGCGCACTCTTGTCGATGTGAATTGATAATTTTTCAATAATAGCCAAAATTAATGTGTTCGTATATAGTAATGATTATGATTTATCATTGATGTCAGTTAATAATTGGTTTAAATAGCAACACATCATCTCTTAGAAGTACTTAAGCTAAGTTATAGTTAGACATATCTTTATTTACTACAAGTACATGTACAAGGTATACAGACCATAGCTGACATCAGTGACATACTACTATATAGAAAGCCGCTTGCTATGCTGAGCATTTCCCGCAAATTAGGTCAATTTTGTTGCAGGATGCGACCCACACTGGTGTCAAGAAACACACCCAATGTTTCTACCCTAGTCGGGAATCGAACCCGGATACTCGCCGTGTGAAGCGAG